GCCATCGCTATTAGGTTGGAGGCCATCGCAAGTAGGCTGGAGGCCATGGCTATTCGGTTGGAGGCCATAGAAGAAAGAAGAATTAGTGCATGTTCATTTTTACATGAACAAAGAGGCATTGGCGCGTCGGCTGGAGAAGTCGATTCTTCCTCTTTCTCGTGAACAGCTGCGTGTTCTGTGGCACTTGAACATATACCTCGATCGGATTGGAAGACATAGAGAAGTTGATGGTGGCCTTCAAAAGCAAAAGAACACATTATACATATCAGTATATTTGAGTACCCCCTGCAAATATACGTTGAACCCGAGGACGTGTATAACTGCACGGGTGTATATTATACCATGTTTCGCGTATATTCACACAGCGTTTCACTTGCTCGTTTGTCCAACAACCTCCAAGAGCTCCTCCAAGGACTGAAAGGGACGATAGGAAGCGATCCGTTCAGCCATGGCATCGCCCACGCAGTTCGCCAGATCCGCAGTGCTGCAGCCATTGATCTCCATGGCGGACTTGGGACAAAGTCGGACAAAGCGACGATTCTGTGCTTCTTGTTACTAGCGATGGCCTTCAAGCTACGTGCGATAGCCTCCACCGAGCATAGCGTCCTAATACTGACAATTCTGTGTCTGTTCAAATTCTTGTGCTTTATCAAGGTCTAAAGTGGTGAGATGCTGGTCGGATGTGGTCGGACAAGTGTTGACTCAAACGGTGTGAAAAATGCTGGTGACGAGTGATCATGTGCTAATTCTAGTAACACGTACATTACTATACTATACTAGTAGCAAATAGCTACTATATAGTAGGGTGCATCGCTGCTAGTAACCAGTGCAGGATGCTGGTGTGACTCAAATTCCCACATTGGGCCGAGCTTGGCGCTTTGAGCGTCAACCCCACGGTCGGCCATACACCGCCTCTCGGCCGCGAGGCTTGGCCTCGCCCGTCGCGTCGCGCCTTCTTGGGCGCTGCAAGCCTCGCTTGGAAGTGAAGACCTCCTTGAGAGGAAAGACGTGAGACCTGGGCATCTCTTCGAAGCTGAAATCCTTCGTTGAGACCTTCATGTCGAAGCAGTTCTTTCGCCGGTTTCTTTTCTAAACTATTGTTGTGTGCGGTGCGGGGATCTTTTAGTGCTGAGGCCCCATCTGAGCAGCTTCCCCAGCTCTGTTGTACGCTGGGATCCTCGTTGAAGACCTGGGATCATTCTGGGTTTGCAGGTATCTATCTGGCAGCATGTTCTTAAACACTGGTCACACGTTGCATCAACGGAACAAACGCTCCGGTCTTGCGCCAAGTTGCTGAGTCCGCGCCATCCATTTGCGCTGCCTTGAGCCTCAATGGCCTGATTGGGACAACCCATGATGGGAACCCTGCAGCAAACATCCTCAGAACGCAGTGGCACAGAGATTTCCAACACGGATTTCTGAGCATCAAAAGGCGGACCAAAACTTTTTGGATGAAATCATCAGCACATGGTACATGTGGTGAAGTTAACATGAAACGTGAGACTTTTAGATGCAGTCGCTTTTGCAGTGCTTCGTCACATGATCGAATCCTCCAAGACATCCCTCAGTTTGGACCGGCCAATTTGATGACAGCGAGGTGGTCCAAGAAGTGGAAGGTGCCATTGCCCATCGCGACGCCCATGCGATGATCCATCGAATCCATTATTGACTCGGCCATCATGAATCTTGGCCCAGGATCTCTGGCAAAAAAAAGAGTGCTGTTCCTCCATGACAAAGATGATCTCAGGCCATCTCATCGCCCTTCATGTTCTGGCCTGTGTTCCCGATCCTTTCCTGTCAGAACATCACATCTGCACATGACCTTTTCTCAAAGATGAGAACACTGAAGTTCAATGTGCTTCTCAACTGGCTCAAAGAAACGCTTTTGAAAATCAAGTAGCTCTTATTAGCTCAACTGGTCTTTCAGAACCGTCCTTGACCTTCGCAAGTACCTCTAGAGGTGGTCCAAACAGTTTTTCAAGGCAGTCAAGTCTTCTTGATAATTGACTCATCCAGACTCATGCTCTCTTTTGACTCTCTGACACCGTTGACTCTTCACTCTTCTTGATACCCCAACACATGGGAAACCGCATTGGTCGATGGCAACGATCTAAAACAACATATCCATATCAATGCATTGGGTATATCAGGTATATCCCATGACCTGTAACTGGTTAGTAAAGGCCTTGTTCAAGACTATAGTAATAACTGTTTATTGACTGTTACAGGTAAGAACGGACAAACCTAATCAATGCAGTTTGTCCATGTTCACACCTTGTTGCTCCCTTCGGATCTTATGGGTCACTGGCCGTCCATTGGCGCCACCTTCCGCAAGACCTCGTTTTCAGGCAATCCGACAGCCAAGTCTGCCGCGATCGTTTAAGTTAGAACCTGGGAAGAGCTTCCAACATCTTCTAAACTTGGTACTTTCAAGATTCCATGAAGAGCGCCGCAAACCAAAATTGGCCCCAATTCGGCTGATTCTACCAATCTTGACAGTTGTTCCGCAAAAGGGGCGCCACAGCGCGCTCTCTGCAGGCCTTGTTAGCTCGGAGGTCCCACAGCACCAGAAGGCCATTTTCAGCACATGTGAGCAATCGAGCCTGAAGAATACAAGCAAACGCCACCTTTTCTTCAAACTATCACTCCGTGAAGATCTCGAAGAATCGAATCCGTTTTTTGGTCTCAACGATCCGGGATCCGGAAGCTTGTTCTTAGGTTGAAGTAGATGTGCACTGTGTGAGACTGCAACGACTTGGAACTCGCTCGACCACTTTCCACTAAGCTTCTGACTCCATGCAAGGCCACTGACATCAATTTTGACTTCTCTGGGTCCTGCAGCAAGATCTGTTTGCCGGTTTTTGCGCGTGGGTCATCTGCGCTTTCACGAAGCGCATGGGGCGTCGGCGTCAAGCAGTCTGTCGGACCCGACTTCGGATTGGTCACGGTCCAGTCATTGTCGAAATGCAGCGGAGATCAACCCAAAACCATCCAAAAACCCTCCTATCAATAGAGTGAGGATGACGAAATCCACAAGATCACCCAAAGAGAATGGCCATTGAACATCAACCACGATGCGCCACGGATGCGTGGTTCGCTCAGTCCTTTGCTCCGTTCACCGGCTGGGCCTCTCGCAGGTCCCAAAGGCACCAGGACCCTGGCGCCGAGGGCGTCCGGCCGAGGCGTCGCGCCGAGGCGTCCGAGCGCACCATCTGCTGCGCCACTGACGAACTCATGGTAAAAGGCCTGGCATGGTAAAAGGCACCCGAAAGAACCAATTCCCAAAACACGCATTTGGAGGCCATCCCTAGTAGGTTGGAGGCCATGAAAATGGGGAAGAAAGGATGCCACGAAGAGAAGAATAGAGAAGAGCATCGAAAGCCACCAAACGCTTCAAATCACACTTTCCTCATTCACCACCAGGTGGGAAGTCATATATCTGGCCTCCCCGGTGTTGAATCTCACTGCCTGAAGTCGACAAAGTCTTTTTCAGCTGAGTCACTGAGTCCGAGGATCAAATGATCCGATCTGATTCCCTTAATGATCTTAAAGCCTGTCAGTCAGGCACTACGTATATAGAAAATAAAATATATTAATGGCTATATATGCATCTATAGATAGTTCTTTTGCCCGGGGAGGTTGGCGCTGCTGGTCGTGCTTCGCGGTGTGTGAATCACCCTGGTATGCCGAGAGCGAGCACAATAAATACCTTCAGTCGGGCTGCTTGGCCTTCAACGCTCGACTTGCTTCATTTGGCCAAATGGGTACCTTTGTTTCCCATGGATTTGCTTCAGCGCTGTGGCTTCAATGCGGCTGGATGGGAGGGCTTTGGGGCAAAGGATCAGGATGGAGTTTCTGCATCGTTTTCTTCAGCAATTGCGCGCTGTCGCGCAACCCAAAGCACGTGCGCCTTCCTCTAACCGTGTATTGGCTGCTTTGCCAGTACCTCTTTGAGTGCTATCTCTTCCAATCGCAGCCCTCGTGGCTGCCCTTCTCCCCAGCACTGATGGGTTGTGGCATCTGGAGTTTGATGATCATATCGATCGATCCAGAGCCAGCTGAAGAACTTGCAGAACGAACACCAGTTGATTTTGTTCTTCGGCCATTATGTATGATATTAATATACAGTATACTGATTAAGAACGTATCTAACACTGCATCAACGGTGAGTCGAAGTCTGAGAAGCCACCCCAAATGACCAACAGATCTATCACGAACATTCACGAACTCTGTGCCGAGGGGCGGTGAGCGATGGTGGCTCCTCCCTGAGATCAATGTTCAACAGGATTGAACTTGGGAAATTCGGGGTGTTCTTAGAGCTTGAAAGTGTCCTGCAAATGCTTCATCCTGCAAATGCTTCGTATCGACCTAGCTTGTTCATCTGGTCCCAATTTTATGCTAAGCTCCTTACTCTGACGCGGAGATATGCGGGGATCCTGGGCCAGTTCCAAGATTGGGTTGTTGAATCCATCAGGACTGCCAAAACCCCGTATGATGAGAAATGTGTGTTTGTTTTAATCTGCTGACACAATTGCATGGCCCAATGCGGTCTAAGGAGGTCCAGGAGGTCCAAGGGTCTGAGCATGTCAACGGATAGCTAAGTCTCCGAACGTTTTGTTGGTCGCCACACCATCGTGTCCCAAAGGCGAATGCAGCCATCCTACGATCGGAAGGGAACCTTCAACGGACCTGAGTCCCTTCGTCAAAAGAGTAGGTTGGATAAATTTGTTGGAGGCCATCGCTATTAGGTTGGAGGCCATTGCTATTAGGTTGGAGGCCATCACTAGTATGGTTGGAGGCCATTGCTATTTGGTTGGAGGCCATTGCTACTAGGTTGGAGGCCATCACTAGTATGGTTGGAGGCCATTGCTATTTGGTTGGAGGCCATCGCTAGTAGGTTGGAGGCCATTGCTAGTAGGTTGGAGGCCATTGCTACTAGGTTAGTATGTGAGCGCTGCTCTCTCCATCGACCCATCCCCTTCCCTTAGAAACCGCTCCTCGGCCCCTGCGAGGACCCGTGAGAGCCGCCGGTCCTGAACAGTTCGTGAGAGCTTCTTGTTTCGTGAGAGCTAGTAGTAAGGCACTTGTTTCTAATAGCTTCTTGTTACTACTAGTAAGGCACCTGTTACTAGTAGCGTGGCACTTGTTTCTACTAGCTTCTTGTTTCTACTAGCTTCTTGTCCGGGTCTCATGTGTTGAAGGTCAGTTTGTGCCGAGGCCGGATCCACGCACATGCTGTAGATCGGTGACTGAGGAGTCCTCCAAAGACTTGTCAAAACTGCGAAGAGGATGGGTTTAATGTTCAAATATATACATACTTAGACTACAACTCCTATTCATGCATATTTATTCACATTCACTGTCAGAGACTGGCTCTTTTCGAAGATTGCAGTCCTCTCTCGGCAGTCCCTGTTGTGCAACGGCAGCTCAGCGTCACAGGTCGTTTCCATTGAGCTTGGCGTGGCCACCTCGGCCGACCAGTAGCGCACGTAGCCGTCCTGGATCAAAGGGAATGGAACGTCACGGTATGGAACTACATGGAACTACTCCCCCTCCTCAAGGGAGAGGTAGCTAGTAGTAGCTAGGTAGCTACTAGTAACGGGACGCAGGATAGCTCACGCTTCTTCAAGGAAGCCCTCGCACTAATGATTTGGTTCCTAGATTTTTAGGGAAACTTAACTTAATTGCGATGGTATATGTATATATGCATCACTCTAAAAGAATAAGATTCTATCACGAACTATGGCATACTCCATCAGCCATCGTCCATGGTCCACGCCAACTGATGAAACCCTGCTCCTCTCCAGCACTGAAGGCCTCATGGGCAAATCGATGCTCGGCTATGAAGATTGGAGCTCCCAAAGTGACACCAAGTCAAACGTCTACTAGGCTCAATGGCCGGGATATGCTATGCATTAGCTGTGCCAGATCGCATGTCAGCATGTCGTCTCTATCACTAGTATATGACGTAAAGCTTTTACACGCTGGTTGCACGATGTGGCACGTGGGATCATCCCTAAAACCCTCCCAAAAACCCATTGAACAATTCGGCTGAGGCCTTGCCGTTCCGCCCTGGTGCCTGTGCAGGTCCCGCAGACTCCACACACGTTACTGCTCCGCCATGTGCTGGGATCTTCCTCGGGGTCGGATCCAAACGAAGCGGATCAGGCTGCGTTTGGTACAGCCAGCGGCAAAGGAACAGGTCACTTGAAAGTAAAGCCAATGCAAACACCATCAACTAAGAAAACATCAAGACACAACCGATACACATCACTCAAGAACTTTGGACTTTGCCATAAGACTTTGCACATTCGTTGGAGGACTTGGCCGGCCTCAAAAGTCGATCACCAGATCGACCTGACGGATGCGAAGGTGGAGACGACCGGAGACTGAAGCTGAAGCAGACTTCAGTCGCCAGAGTTCGTTTCCTTTGTTTACTTATATAACTATTATCTCGACTTATTAGGTTGGAGGCCATCGCTATTGGGATGGAGGCAATCGCTACTAGGTTGAAGGCCATTCCTAGTATATATTAGTATATTACTTACACTGTCAAGGCAATCTGGCTGGAGAAGAACTGCATCCGCAAAACTGGGCCAACGGAAGGGGTTGCAGGTGTCAAACCATGTCAAATCGATTGCGTCCCAAGCATTTCTCCTCGCTATTAGGAGCAAGGACGCTACGAGGAACAAAGGGCATCGCTAGCAGGAGCGATCGGACGCTATTAGGTTGGAGGCCATCGCATTTCTCCCCGTTCCCTCGATCGCACCTGGTTGGCTCCAGATGCACATGGAGCCATCGGCGCCACCAGTGAAGAGCTCCTGATTGCCGATGCCCACTGCAGAGATCCCTGCGATCCATACGACGCATACGAGCAGCTGGAAGCACATAAAAGCAAACAAGACTTGCCTGCGAAACGTCCAGGTGAGGGAGTAACTGAATGAGCCTGCCACTGACAGGGATCTTCCAAGTGCCTCAGGAAGAAAATTGACAACCCCATAAAGATCCATAAAGCCGCTATAGCCTACGTATAAGACCGGCAATCAAAAGCTGTTGCAAGGTGTGTTTCACAGTGCAGAGCGCCGGATTTCAGTCTTGGAACTTTCCGGATTTCTGTGCATCCGTAACTCTCCGGCTCAATCAGAAAACGCACCTGTCCATCCTCCAAACTGTAGCAATGCCAGCCTCACCGTGCAAGCTTCAAGTGCAGCGGCACAAAAAGCATCAACCCAATGCTCAACAAACGCTGGTAAGACTTTTCTCCACAAGTTCCATGATGTTGTTTCGGTTTGGGCCATTTTGGGGCCGATGCTGCTTCGATTCAGGGGTCATCTGTGAGAAATGGACAAACTGAGATCGCACTGAACAAGGTGAACCTCCCAGATCAAAGGATAGAAAGGGCACCATAGGGAGCCAACTACCAGTCGCAGAGTCTCTGATCGACAGGGAAAATCAATCGAGCTCACATCAGTCGCAGGGCGACTGAGATTTGCCGCCCTCTTGCCCGGTGAAGCGGCCTCTGTTCCCACCAGCAACTGCTTGTGTTTCGGAGAAGCTTCATCTGTGCCGCAGAGCCTCCGACTGGGGGCAGTACCGTTGGATGCAGCTTCATGGAAGCTACCCGCAACCGATCCAAAAGGGATCAAGATGCCTCTGGTTGGGAGTGATGGCCGAGGTCTTGATCTCAATCTCTCGCTGACTGCCTGCGCAAGGGCGGCACATGGGCTTGCATGCGATATTTTGCAGCTTTGAATGTTGTATAGACTCCTTTGTTACTAGTAGCTTCAACCAATAGTAGCATCTAGTAGCGAGGCACCTGTTCCTAATTAATAGCGATGCACTTGTTACTAGTAGCTATAGCATGCTATAGCTATACTAGTAGAGAACGACACCCTGAGCACGAAGTGAATAACCATCGACAAGACAAAGCCGCTCTTCCACTTGTGCAGCCAGAGCTGCAAGGAAAGCTCAGCGCAGCCACCACATCTGGCCCAAAACTCAGACATCGGGCCAGTGCACGTGGATACGGCTGAGGTGCGTCCATGCTGATACTGCGATGGCATGGTTTGCCCAAACTTGGAATCGTTGAACTGCGATCTCCCAACCAGGATCCACACTCAAGCAAAGCCACAGAGCCATTTGAGAAGCTAGCAGCAACCTCGCCAGGGCCGCTATTGGCTTGGATTATGTGAAAAGAAGCAGATCAATCGATGTCCGCCCAAACTCGTCTCTCCGTTCTCTCTCTCCGTTCGTCCACCTTGGCCACGTGCTCGGTGAGGTCTGAAGCGATCGAAGTGCAGCGGTGCAAAAGGTTGGACCTGGTCGAAGAGGCTGGTGGACGGGACGCAAAGCGCGCCACACCGCTCGGAGTGTGAAAAACACCGTCTGAACAGCCCAGTTAGCTGTTGGGTCGTGTCAAATCGTCTTAAAGTTTCTCAAACTGCATGAGACAGAGTCAGACAGAGAGTTCGTTTGGTACGATATTCCTCACTCTCCATGAACACCCTCGTCTCACTCCTCGTCTCATTATGTCTGATCCTTCTTCCAAGCATGGCAGTCGGAAATTTGATCCGAACAACAAACCTCAATAGGCACAAACACGTTAACAAAAAGCTACTAGTAGCAAGGACGCTATTAGGTTGGAGGCCATCGCTACGTCACGTGACCGACCAGATCCTTTGGATTGCCTCAGGGTCTTCAGGATGGCCGCTTCGTTGGTCTCACGGGTCTCATCTTCCAAGATGGGCCTGAAACGCTCAAAACATGTGGCATGAAGGTCTTCTTAGGTCTTAAGGTCTTAAGTTTTAAGGTCAAAAGAATGAATTGAAAAAACATGTAAAGGAAAGAAAGGGTTGTAACAAAACACATGTCAAACCAAACACAATAACCTGGTGACCGAGACATTCTCAGAATGCTTTTCAGAGTTCTGTTGGGACGGCTCGTAACGTGTCTTAACACGTCGCAACACGCAGCAACCAGCACCGTACCATTGGACTTTTGTGATCCTTGTTACGACTGTCAACCCTGAACTCTGAAACGATTTGTACTGTAGTAGGCTCGCCCGACTTCTTAAGGAGTCCGCTTCCCAAAAGCCCAAGCGAATAGGAAAAGATCGAATCTGAAGGCCTTGCGTCTACTTTGCCTACATGTAAGAAGCCCTTTCAACGATCGACGAATTCATGCCATGTCACTCACCCAAGGACTCCAAGGAATGGCCTGAGTGGCTGCGCTAGAATGACCTCTTATCCCAGCCGTCTGCGCCGTCTGCGCCCGGCCCTCCCAAAAGAAAAGCAGCAACTATCGGTGGGTGACCAGATCTTCCAAGACTCCTACATACAGATTCCTAGGTTGGAGGTCACTCTTCATCTGAAAATCGAAGCGGTCGTCGGACGAGCACTGAGTGAAGTGCTCACGCTAGACTCCTGCAAGCTGGATCAAAAGGAAAACACGTGAAATCCACACACCTCACAGCTGAAATCCAAGTCTGTGTGTATCGGCAGTTCGTGCCCTGCCCTGGTTCGGAATACAAAGACCGAGTTTCAAAGATCTCCTGGCAGCATTTCTCACATCCATGTCCCATGCCGCATGACGGCCGAAGCCGCTTCGCAAGGACTCAATTGGATTAATGCTTCTTTCGAACGGCATCAACAACCGGGGCTTAGCATTCTCCAATGGGACCCTAATCAGAATAGGGAGAGAGTAAGTTCTCTTGAAAAAGAGCTGCTTTGCTGAATGTGTTCATGCATTGATGTGTTGAAGCCATGGTTAAAGTCAACCCGAATGTGGAAGGCATGCTGGAAAGCTGGTGAGAGCTACCCCGGCAGGTTCAGTCTGAAATAGCACTTCTGACCGCAAAACAGTCATCCTCAAGTGAATTCATTGACGCTTTGATGTTAAAAAAACGATTGCGCAGGGTTCTTTCGCCAAAATCAATCCTTTTCACCACGCAGGTGCTTCCATTCAGGTGAGAGTGCGAGCCATCAGTCCTGGGGCGTCTCTGTCTCTGCGCCACGTGCAGCAAGTCTAGACATGCAAAAGGGTTCTCCAAAAAGCACCCGATTCCAGTGTTTGCCACCAAGATCATCAGCTGGGTCAGAAATGCTTTATTAGGTTGGAGGATAAAGCTCTTAGGTTGGAAATGCGGCAACCGCTTGTCTCAAGCTGCTGCCGTTCTTTCTGAATAGATGTTTCCTTTCACAAAGCTTTGGGCATCAAAGGTGGTTCAAATTGATCCCATGTTGCTGGGTCAGAAATGCTTAAACACACATTGCATATCTATACAGCCAAACAAACTCAATCCCAATAGCGGACTCTAGGCAACAAGAGAAGCTTCTTGCCACCAAGATCATCAGCACCCGCTAGTATGCTGTTTGAAGATGATTATATGCCAAACACAGAACAGAAAAAAAGTGTCTTGATGATTGTGATGTTGTGGCAAATGGACATGAACAAACAACAAAGATTCATAAGAACTGGCAAACTCCGTAACATAGTGACAGTTGAGCACATCATACGTAACATTAGCCCATGATTTAGATTATGCGAAAAGTGATCGAAACGAAAGGCGAACGGCAAGCCGTCCCGGAAACCCATGTCTCCAACAAAGCACTATCCGAGGAGCCAGGGATGAGAGTGTCATCGACGCTGGATCCACAAAACGAAAGTGTCATAGTGTCATAGACGCTGGCGGACGCTGGATCCAGCGTTCCGCAATCATCAGCAAGCAACAAACATCAGTGTGGAGCCAGAAAGTGACAATCTCCAACCTCCAACGAATCCTGTGTCCTCTTCATGGATGATCGATGAATCGCAACATCCACTCAGCAACATTGACGCATGACACATATTCACTCAATGCCATCTGGCTGTGGTCCCATATAGAGGAATCTGTTCATTTGATCCGCGGTCAACCAGGGTTACAGGGTGGCCCACGGCCATCTCCGGACTTCACCCATCGGCACCACATGGCTCGTTCGCTTCTCCTCTGGATCCATTCCCACATCTTCGGCGCTGGCATCCCAGGCATCCACCGCCTGGCTACAGAGGCCACATGGCTCATGGGCCGCGTGCGCGAACGACGTCGTTCACATGAATGGCAGGGGATTTTGTGACCACATTCTCACTTCTAGCACAAGTACTTTAAAGTTGCTTTAACGCAAGGGGTTTACAGAGTCCACTCTTGCTTTGAAAGCATGTTGTTTTGGGTACCAGCAAGGAAATCAGAGATGTAGCCTGATGTAGTGTTCTGAATCTTGTAATGATTGTCTCGAAAGGAGTCATTGCATTAGGATCTCAAGGAGCTCCCGCCTGATCAGCAAGTCCTGGCAGACCTGGCAAGCCACACATTCGTTGCTTTCGCAACAACCTCACATATATTTGAAATTTGTATCAAGCCTTATCATCCCACCAGCACTTTTCAAAACCTAGAGAAGATGTAGGATCTTGAAATCGACCGGGGTTTTGCAACCTAAACCGGCTTTCTCCAAAAGCATCCACAAAAATGTGGCTCTTTTAATGTGTTAATTGCAGGTTTTGAACTGAACATGAGAAACCGAGTTTTCCACTGCAATAGTAGGTTTCTGGTGGCTTCTATACAAAAACAATCAAAAAACCAGTTTTCAGAAAAAGGGTTGTCACTGGTCAGCTTTAAACGTTTGGCTGCTGGTTGCTGGATGCTCCTGGCACAATCATCTTGTATCAATCAGCTTTCGGAATTCATCGATCCTTCTAATCACCGTTTTTCCAACGCGCTTCTAATCACCGCTCGTTAAAAACCAACGAGGTGCCTCGAAGGAACAAGGGATCCAAGTCGTGGGAGAACATCGAGGTGCCTCGAAGCGACCGAACAGAGATGCCAGGAGCCCCGTTCGTAGCTTCTTGTTACTAAGGATCCTCAGAGAGTCTTGGAGCGTTTGTTTCATACGCCATGCTCTCCTCTGAAACTGGAATCGTATTGAGCGAGCGTTTTTGAACCATCACTAAGTCAAACATGGGTGCTTTGGCACTTCAACACAACTCCTCTCTCCCGTCTCGCCCTTTGGCTTGGCTGCTGAAACGGTGCTCTCGGCCATAAGCACCCACCTGCGCTCTCGACCGAGACCACAAGACCCTTGCACTGCACTTGCTGCGGTTGTAGGACGGGCTTGCCAGACTTGCGCTTGAAGACCCTTCCATTAAAGAAAGCCACAAATGAGGCTCAAATGAATTCTGTTGAACAAATGGGTCTTTCAGGGTCTGCGCAAAGCTTTCTGTTTTAGGCTGGTACCTCAGGTTGACTCGATGGCCGGAGCTGATGATCGAAGTAGTCCCAGTCATGGTCATAGCGATCCAGGTAGAGGTACCGGCCATCCTCGACTCAAAACCCCCGACCCGACGACCGCGTCAGTCGCTCGGCTTCGAAACATCTCGTGAAACACGTCCCTTGACGTCACGGCTTCTGACGCCCAGAACATTCGCCTGTCACATGCCTTGTGTTTTGCTTCACCAACGCGGTGGACGCCGGTCGACGCGGGTGGACGAAGGCCAAGGCACGATGCTCACGCCGCTCACGCAGCAGTAGACCAAGTCACCCAGCTTCACGTCCTCACCGTGGGGGACGCCGGAGCTACGATGTAGTAGCGATGCCAGGAGCTCCGTTCGAGTCGCGATGCCAGGAGCCCCGTTCATAGCGTGCCTTTCTACACCAAAATAACACAAGTACTCAGAAGTGTGATGATACATGATACATCATGATATCACCTCATCATCTCTGTTGGCCCACACTGGACGTTCCTGACTTTTGGTCCGGCATGGTTGTCACCGAGGTACATCTGAAAGAATGACCGGGTTTGACAAATATGATAATATGATCACGAACTGATCACCTTTATCTCTTTGCAGCCAAGCTGAGGACTTGCTAGAGCCAGGGAGTCCAGAGGGCCCTGCCTTGAAACGTTTCAATGCCGATGGAGTGCACACCATGCCCACTCGTCCATTGAGCTTCAGGAGGAGCTTGCTGCCAATCATATGAGCTCACAGTGAAGCAAGGCTGAGTTTTGGACAGCTTTGCTTTTGAAAGGGTGTCTGCAATGTGGTTTGCTTGTTCCCTGTTCAGGAAAATGCTGTGTGCTGCAGCATTTATTTGGTACTAAACTCAAATACACTATCTATTATGTGGGGGCCCTATCTCGTTTAGACTACTTAGTAGGAGGTCATGTCATAGTATCTCGTTCAGACTACTTTAGTAGCAGATCACACTATTTCGTTCAGACTAATTACTTTAGTGCCATCAAGCAAAAGTATATCGTTTATGTGGGGGGGCCTATCTCGTTCACAAGCGAATACTGATGATAGACAAGGTGACTCAACCAACCAACAATGTTGACGAAGTTGAAGAGCCTAGCATGGCCTGTACACAATGCCTTGAGGCTTCTTCGAAACGCATGTTCACATCATCTCCCGCAATCCAAATCTCTTCCAGCCAACCCAAGGGCACCCACCAGCCCTCGCTGTCATGTCTTGAAAACCGCCCCATCACCCATCGCAACTTCAGCCAGCTGGACTCGCGGCCCCGCGAGGCCATTAAGGCCCAAAGCCGGGTGCCAATCTTGGCCTCAGACCGTCGGCACGGAAAACAAGGAGAAATGAGTTCAATATAGTTCAATTGGTGTCCCTTCCTGACTTCGATGTTCAAATTCTCCTCCGTGTTCTTCGTGTCTCATTGGTTCTCATTCCCATGTTCTGCCCAGGGGATCAGTTTGAGTTGGAACGTTCTGCTGAACTGCTAGAAGGTGGAAAAAAAGGAAAAAGGAGTGGTTCTCATTATATAAATAGCTGTGAGGTATCAAAGACATGAACTGCCAATCTGCCATCTATTTTGTTCTCATGCCAGGTGTGCCTCAAGTCTGCTCGGTTTGCTGGGGAAACTGGCCATACTCTCTGCCGTGGGAAATTCACGGTTCAAGAAACGGTAGTCCGCCGCAAGAGCAGATGCTTCCGCAATCTCCTCGCAAAAACGCATCATCGAAGAACTTGGGAGCATTGGCATCAACCTAGTAGCGTCCTTGCTCCTAGTAGTAAGGCCAGGAGCCCCTAGTAGCGTCCTCGCTCCTAGTAGCGATGCCAGGAGCCCCTAGTAGCTTCTTGCTCCTAGCAGAAAATAATAGAAAATAACTGCTTCAATGAGTGTGCACCACCCAACAGGTTCTGACCCTTTGCTTCTCAATTCCATCGAACGAAAAGGCAAAGCATGGCAAAGCTTTTCAGCTCAAGCTGAATGAAGAGATGCTGAGTGCAACAGTGAAACCACTCCTATCCCAGGATGGCTCCCTGCTTACGTCTGCTCCTCCTGGAGCGCGGCATTGGTCTTCTCCATAAGCAGCTCATGCAGCGGCAGCAGATACGCTACGGATCGGACGGCATAGGACACCAAGGCTTTGGACAAGGGTCGTCGGCCCCAGAGCTGCGGATCCTGTGACGGTTGCGGATCCCCAGGTCCACAGTGAGTCTTCCTATAATAGCTCCAACCTATATAATGGCGATGGCCTCCAACCTAACAGCGATGACCTCCAACCTAAAGTCAACATGTGTTTGTTAATGGAACATCATTGTGAGCCTTGTGTGAGAGACTTGTGAGCCACTTGTGAGCTCTGTCCGAAGATGTGGCTCATGCGAACGTTCTTTGTCGGTTTCTTCCGTTTCTCTCCTCCAGCATCAACGATTTCAGCTCCGAATCGTCCGGATCGATGTTGAGGTATTTCTGAAGGAGTTCACTGGCTGAGGCTTGATAGGCCTCTCTTCCAGCCGCCCGTTCCAGGCTCGCATGGGCAACCTGGGTATCAAAAATGCCACGGAGACCGATCCCGTGTTGATGGTACAAAGCGGAGCTATCCTCACGGCAGTCGTGGATCACCTGAGGAACACGGTTTAGGTCGCAGGTCTAACAAGAAATGTTTGAAGGATTTTTGCACCACTTTACAAGCAAAACCATTCTGGAATTGGGATGAACTGCCTCCTTCACGGTCACCGAACATGCTATTAAAAGCCACAGTACGTGCCTCGCTTTTGCGGCATTTGCTTAACATGTTTGGCCTGGCCTTGACGACGCTTGGGCTTTCCAAGAGTGGTCGAAAGGCTTCCACAATACCAGGCCGCAAAGCGTCACACAGCATGACTTGTCCATCTTCGTCTTGCATCTGCATCAGAGAGAGACGTCCAAAACGGCCTAAACGCACTCCTTCACAGTCCAAGGCAATCTTGGCAATCGAAGATTCATTCGGAGATCTCTTTCGGAGCTTCAACAAGAGCTCCCTTGAAAGGCGCTCTGCTTGTGCTTGGCTGGAAACCAAATGCACTGTATAGCTGGTTCCAAAGCAACGCTTTGCAGAACGGAACCACGGGCGGAGCATCTCATTGCTCTCAATGCTGAGTTTCTACTATGTCATGAGTCATGGTGTATCTAAGGAACTCTCAACCTTCCAATGTGATTCCCAACATGGGAACACCGACAACTTATTATGAGAACTTGCTTGGAGGCCATCGCTAGTAGGTTGGAGGCCATCGCTACTAGGGTGGAGGCCATCGCTCTTAGGTTGGAAGCCATGAGTTTGGTTTGTGGACATGTTTCTTCACCAATCTATCTGAGATCCACAAGTCTATACTCACCACTATGATGTGGGATGAAGCTGGGCCGAAGCCTGTCCGGTCTGGATTCACATAAAAAACTGAGTTTTTTCATGGGAGTTCTGCCTGGATGGAGTCAACTCAAATGACCTAGAGCGTGCGAAAAGCATGCGGAGAGAAATAGAAAGGCTCAACATCAAAATCGCCAATGAAAAGCATGATGTTCAAGTTTTTCTCAGTGTTTTCACTTCTCAACTGGCTGCACATTGCCTCCTGGAACCACACCAACGGCGCCATTGATGCCTTTTTCAGGTCAAGACATTGGCCAACGCTATTCTTTCTCTTAGGCGTCTCTGGGCTGCCACTCTTTCAGCCATGGTGATTTCTGCCACTCCTGCAGCGATGCTCTCTTTGGGCTACGCGGCTAGCTGAATAGTATCTTGATATGAGATTTACGTATTCTGCCAATGAAAAGTCCAGAAATCAAGGATTTATATCGATCGATGGTCATTTGGTCTTGTCTCTTCCTGTCATCTTCATGTAGCTTTGGACCGCTATTTCCACGCTCTCCTGAAAGCCACGGCGTTGCCAAGCGCCAACGGCCGATGAATTGCGCCTCCCTTCCATTCCCTCACAGCACTTGGCAATGCGCTCCATGATGTCAGAGACCGATGCAAGGGCACCACGCCCAACGTCGCCGCAGGCAAGGCGTTTGCTGACGGGAGGAACCACCCAGCAACCGAACCTGGATCCAAGTGAGCCACATGTTCCTGGCCTTACTAGGAACAAGAACGCTACTAGGGGCTCCTGGCCTTACTAGGAACAAGGATGCTACTAGGGGTTCCGGGCCTTCCTACTAGGAACGAACGCTTCTGTGCGTTCTCTCTGTGGTTTCAGAGAAATGGACCTGAGAAGTCTATGTTGGGTTTCTGCTCCGTTGTTTTATTTGATCTGTTTACTTTTCTCTCGTTTTTTTTACCCTTTTCTATTGTTCTTGATGTTTTTCCTCTTCTTCATCCTTTTTGTGCTTTTGCGTACTCAGCAGAAAGGTCACTGCTACCGTCAATCATCGAATTTGTCATCCCTAATAGTGCTCAGCCTGATGCCTGGCGACGTGCCATTTGCTACCCACCAGGGCAGGCCGATGCTGCGCATAGGGCAAAAGACTATCAGTTCGAAGCACTACACAAAAATTTGTTTCTTTGACGCCTGGAGAAGCCAACCGGAACTTGGAAAAAAGGGGATCAGATTTGCACCTTCCCCCGAAACCGGACTCCTGAAAGAAGGTTGCTTCTGTTTCCTACCAACATACAAATCGAAGGGCCAGGAGCCAACACACACGATGCTAATACTGCACTGTCACCCTTTACGCATAATTAGCATCATCAAAGCGAGTGTTGGGTGTTGTCGCACTGGCAAAGAAACGATAGATCCTTTTTGTCGCTCTCAAAAAACGTCAAGAACAGCTGAAACGCACTGGAAAAAACCTTCCCCTCCCAAGCAAACGCACGACTCCTGCGAATGCTTGCGGAAAATGCGTGCTTTGGGATCGCGTTTCTTCACATTGAGGGCACCTACGCAGTGCTCTGGGAAACACAGCCGGCGATTGCTTGCGGGGGGCTGGAATGCAGTGGGAGCCTCTACAACACATAGTCCAGCAAATACTTAAGGTAGCACGGGTGAAGCAGTGACGGGGTATTCCGTTTCTTTTTGCAAGCTCTCGAGCTAGAAACACATTGGAAGTGGAAGCATTGGCTCGAGAGGAGGCTCCGCCGTGTTCTTTTTACAAATCTTCATCCTCACTTGCACCATGTTTAATCGACGGTTCGGAGACCAGGTCGGTGACCGTGCATAGACAGGCGCATCAAGACCCTCTTTGCACCCAGCTCCAAGGCCGACTAGATGATCACGCGCCTGCAAAAACGAAAAGCTCCACGCCTGCTTCGAAGAGTGACGCCGGGCTGCAGGGAAGTGGCGCACAAGCATTGCAATCCTGACTCGACCCCTCTTCAGGCCTGTCTACCCCCGCATCGCGCTTTGCAACGGCACTTATGGCCGGAAGCTAAAATATCCACGCCTCTGTTTCCAACCACCCATTGTCCATTGAGCCAAGGTTGGAAGAGCGCCGCTTGCTCTCCCAACAACTGCTCCGCCGTCCGCCAAAAACCAGGCAGCTCCAGCAAGGTCAAGTGCCTCGACAGTCACTCTCAAGGCCTATCATGTCAGGCTTCCTCAAAGCCCCGCGCACAATCGCACCTCTGGTAAACACCTCTCACTCCACACTCCCATCATCCACCCTCCCGACCTGCAAAGTTTGCTCCTGATTATCCTTCCTGCATCTTGAGCTCCAATGGCACATTTCCTGGGGCAGCCTCACAGCCATCCACCACGTCTTTTCCTGGTCCTTCATAGGCCACCGCTGCCACATGCTTCTGTACATGTTGCTATTTTTGCTGCGCTCGCTTGCAAGCGCCAAAGTAGGCATGCTGCCTGAGACCACATCGGCCCTCCCCGCAAACGCAGAGCTATCCCCTTACGTGACGGAAGCCCTGCTTCAATCTGCGCTGGCAGGTTCTGGGCCACGCCAGCTCTGTAGTTAAGCAGCAACAACATTGCCATTGCTGCAAAGCTACGACGCCGTTATTTCTGAGCGACCTTACCCTCCGCGCCAAAGCTGCCGGGCCCGGGGGTGATCCCCAAGCATGCATTATCCGGAAGCATTCGCAGAGCTATAAACTTCAGCTTGGGGGGAGGGGCTGCTTTGTTTTTCGGTATATGTGTTTATCTTTTTGACGTTTTGTGAAAAGCAACAAAAAGAACAATGTCTTCGCCAACATGGGCCCAACATAGGCACTGATAATGCTAGTTATGCGTAGTATAGGGCAACACTGCATTATTAGCATCGCATGTATTGGCATCGGGGCCATTCAGGAGACAACGAAGAACAAGAAGAAGAAGAAGAAGCATAAAAAGAATAAAAAGAAGACAAAAAGAAGAAGAAGAAGTAGAAACAAAAAGGAACACGCAGCAGTTCAAGATGGCAGAACTATCAAGTCTCAAAAGGAGGCCTCATCATGTAGTGAATACAAGCGGATGGAAGGGGCTGCATTCCGTCGGTGCAGGCGGACTTCCCCGTGAAGCGGGACGAATACCCAAGACTACCCAAGAGTGTCAAGTAGCTTTGTTCGTGCACAGCCTCTTGGCATTTGTGCTTTGTCGACTGCCCTTTGCCTCTTACCTTACCCGCTCTCCTCCAATTTTGCCGGCTCTCCCTCCAAGCTTGTTGGTTGGCTTTCATCGCAAAAACACACATACAGCCAAATCGAAAAATCCAAAAACTACCCAAATCGCGTTGAGAGACCAATCTTCCAGGGTCTTCAAGTGCTTGGCAGTGCTAGGATGTTCCCACATGATGGTATTCATGGCTGGTGCCAGTACCAAAGGCTTCTCAGGATCCCAAGCTCGTAAGAAGCTGGTGGCCAAGTTATCGCAAAGCCCCAGAGCCATTTTCGCCAAGGTGTTTGCAGAGCATGGTGCAACCACCGCCAGATCCGCCCACTTTCGGAGCTCAATATGGACGACCAGGTCTGAAGATACATCTTCATATCCTTCCCACTCGTCGAGATCACGCAGCACATGCACATCTACCGATTGTTGCAGCTCTTCCCATTTCGTAAAGCTCTCTGGTGCATATCTACCAGCAATCTTTGCACTGGTCATCGCCTGAGTCGGAAAGAAGAAAACACGCGCAAACCATGCTGCACAAACGATCAACCATGTTTGGTGGGTCACCATTCGATTCTTGCTCACGGGCCATCCATTCCTTTCGTTTCCCGCTTTCATACACACATTAATCACTTCCAACGAAAACACCACGAACCACGCACCTCTGCAGCCTCGGTGAGGAGCACGGCCACCTGGGCATCGAGCTTTTGCCGCAGCGCCACAACGAGCTCCGGGACCTTCACAGAGGCCACAGAGCCCGTGCAAACCAACACCACCCGCGGCCGCTCTTCGTCGCCCGCCGTCAGCCATGGAGCGCGACAGGTCGGGAGTCGTCGCGAAGGGCGCGGCGGCGCATCCGACACCTGCGAAGTCCGAGACGTCTTTAGTGCAGAATTTGATGAAACATGTGGCGTCAAGAGCTGCACCGGTTGGGACTCTGCGCGTGATGATATGAACTTCATGATGTAGCTACATCATGATGTGTAAACTGAAATGGCCAGTGTGCAACGTTTTGCCTAGGCCTGGGAACGCCACCGCCACACCAGGAGACCAAGGCCCACTCCACCCTAAGTCAGGTAAGCCATGGCAGGCAAAAAGCACAAAGCTCAGTACACCTTTCTGCGTTTTCTGTTTCTTTGTTTCTTTAGCAATGGCCTCCAACCTACTAGCGATGGCCTCCAACCTAATAGCAACACATAGCTAAACTATATATAGTTGCAGTTTGGTCACTGCAAGTAAGCAAGTGGGAACGGCATGCTGTGCGAAGCCCCGCCCCGACATGGTAGGATCACAGAATTGCTGTCGAAAAGTCAACTTGCTACTAGGAACAAGAAGGCTACTAGGGGCTCCTGGCCTTACTACTAGTAAAAAGAAGCTACTAGGGACTCCTGGCATCGATTTGAGAGTTTGGGTCATGGCACCTCCAACCTAAAAGTGATGGCCTCCAACCTAAGAGCGATGGCCTCCCCTTAGTAGCAATGGTCCACAGTCTCTTGGGACTTTCACAGTGCCATTGGTTTTGTGCGATTGGTTTTGAACCTGATGGGGGTCATATGAACGAATCCCATATTGGACCACTTGTGGCACTTGCAAGGCTTTGCCTGGCTCTGCCCGTCTTTGGGTTCGATCATGCGTGCATTCCAGCAATGTCCTTGGTCTTTTGAGCAAGCATGCAACGCCCTGTCTTCCATGGCATTCTGGTAGATCCTAGCACACACAGCTGATTTTCCTAACTGAACTAAGCAAAATATGCGCCTTTTTCTTCACGCTAGAGGCGACCACGCACGTCTGGTGTGCAATAGTGCACCTTCACTTGGTGTGCAATACCTCCATCTTGCATTTGAGGGCCGACTAAGCCAATGGGATCGTCGGGTCCAGGCAAACCGGTCCGGGATCGTCTGGTCTCTCACGTGATCTGCACGTCTTCGGTGTTGTCTTCGTCTACGCTGAGACCGAACGGTGTGGTCTTCGGAGCCTTCCATCTTCCATCCTCGTCGTCCCTATATTTGGAGAGGCACAAAAAGCCCGTCCTTGGTGCGAGTTCAAGGCTCCAAACCAAAGGCAGATTCTCTTGATGTACCAAATTCTAGCCAAAAGTCATGAGCCAGTTGGATGTCAAGGCCATCGGTGAACCAAAGATCCCGTAGCTGCCGATTCATATCATGGTGCTCTCCTTGGATGTCCGAGACAGTCTAGGCAGGGACTTCTCTTTGTCCTTGTTTCTAATAGCGATGGCTTCCAACCTAATAGCGATAGCCTCCAACCTAATAGCAAACTACCTAATTTAAAATTAATAGCAAACATTGTTACTACTAGTAAGGCACTTGTTACTAGTAGCGATGCACTTGTAATTACTAGCAAAGGACCTCTGACATCTGCGGACATCTCCCGCATCACCGAGCAACGGTAGTGGCCCATGCCAACTAGGAAGGCCTTCGGATGAACCGAGTCGAACGTCAGCCGGATCGAGGTCACTCCGCTCCTTGCCACCACAAAACAACGCCCACGAAAAACCGAATGCAAAGCAATTTTTAGTGGACACTTTGTGGGACACTCTTGCTTATCAATTTCCCAAGGCACTTTTGAAGGACACTCCTGCTTGACGCTCTGCAAAACATTCTGACTTCAAACAGCTCAAAAAGCTTTGTCAGATACTCTTGTAGGACAGCTTGTGGGTGCGACACTCTTGCTACTCTTTTGTACACTCTGGAACTCTTTCTGAGAAGGCCACTTCTTGACAATCTTAAAGGCCACTCCTATAGAGTACTGAACTGCTCTTGTTTGCCACTCTTCTAGGACGCCCATGACCCAACGAGCGTACAAGACTTCCTCCACCAGTCGCTCGTCAAGCGTCCGAACGCACGTCGCACGCACGTCGCACGAGGCTTCCGAACGCTCCGTTCGAGTCGCGATGCCAGGAGCCCCCGTTCGTAGCGTCCTTGTTCCTAGTAGTACGGCCAGGAGCCCCTAGTAGCGTCCTTGTGGTAGCATTCGCTAGTAGGTTGGAGGCCATCAATGTAGGTTGGAGGCCATCGCTATTAGAAACAAAGAACAAAAGACACGGAAGAAAGGTCATTTCGTACGGGCTCGCTCGCCAGCCTTCTGTGGGCGGAAGCGCTTGATTAAGCTCACGCTTTCGTCCAGGTTCGCGTGCACATTGCTCTTCTTGGAATCTGGATGTAACATATCCAGGATCATCACTGCAATCCCTTCCTCTCCAAAAGGACGCGTGAAGACGAAGAACGTGAGCAGTTGTCACTTGTAGACTTGTCATGCCTGTAGTATAGTGTATATATTCTTGTCAACCTGTCCAGTCTCGTGTTTTCATAGTGGAGTAACCATCTCACTCTCTCAAACTCTGAAAACAGTGACTATAGTCATTCTCTCTCTCTCTCTCTGTGACGAAAAAACGAAATCAGCTCTCTTTGTCTCGACGTTCTCTCAACGTCTCAGGATATGCCGTCCTTGCTCCATTGCTCCAGCAGCTTCTCCGTCCTTGGAAGGATCTGGGAGTAGTCAGAGATGTACACGACTCCTGAGCGAAGTCAATCTGTCAGACAGCATGGAGATGAGACAGGAATTGACTCCAACTGCTCTGTTTTGTTTGCTCAGTTTGCTCTTCATGTGTCTTCATGTTTCATTTAGAGTGGGAATGAATCAACGAAGAAGGCACCTCTTCCAGTTCGATCACAAATCCGTCAAAAACAGTGTGGCCAACTCCACAGTTTGATTGAATTTACTAGCTTCTTGTCACTACTAGTAAGGCACCTGTTACTACTAACGTGGCACCTGTTACTACTAGCGTGGCACTTGTGACTACTAGCGTGGCACTTGTTACTACTAGCGTGGCACTTGTTACTACTAGC